CCCATCCTTGAGCATGAGTGTGCGGGGGGGGGGGGGTTGGGGGTTAATGGGGGGGATGAGGACACATTTGTAATACCTTAACTAATAAAAAAAAAAGTACAAGGGCTCTAAGTGGATTAAATAAAATTATATTTGATATTGGCTTCAAAATAATTGGGGGGAGGGAGGGGCGAGTAGGTGGGATTCTACAGATAAAACAAAACTGAACATGAGTTGGTAACTGTTGGCCCAGGGTGATGGGTCTACTAATCTCCTTGCCAGTATGAATGTCTGTGTTAAAAGTATGGGGGGAAATTATATGCATCCCTTCTTTTGGGTGATGCGATACATTAGCTAGACAAGGAACCATTTCTGATTACTTTTTTATTGAACAAGTATACTGAAACATTCAAACAATGTAAGTGAAAGCTAAGTTTTCAATAGAGAGCCAGGTCCCCTTTCTTAGAGTAAACAAATGTGACTAGTTTTTATTATCGCTGTAGAGATATTCTACCTATGTTTAAACAAATGCATGAATACTTTCTTTCTCACCCGCCCCCACAAATGGTAGCATATTATATACCGTATTTCATACCTTATCTTTTTAGTCTAATAATATCATGGCGGTGCTGTTCCACATTTGTATATACAGCGTTGCCTAGTTCTTTTTAATGCTTACAAAGTATATTCCACTGAATGAATATTTCATAATTACAATCTATTATTATAAACAACATATATTCATTGTTTTAAGATAAAAAAAATAACAATAGTAAAATCCTTTGCATCCTGATTAGTTTCTAGAAATGGAACTGTTGAGTCAAATTACATTATAATCTACCATTGCCAAACTGCCTTCTATAACTTATACCAATTTGCATTCTCATAAACTATGCATCAAAGTGCTCATGTCCTCAATCCTCAACACATTATCATATCAAACATTTTAATTTCTGCTAATGTATCAGGTGAAAAATCTTGCACTGCAGTTTTAATTTGTAGTTCTCTTATAAGTGATGTTGTATCTTTTTGTATGTTTCAGAACCATTTGTATTTCTTTTCTATAGACTTTTAATGTGCCTTGCCCAGTTTCTTACTGGATGGTTGATTGTTTTCTTAGTGATTTTAGGATTTCTTTACTGAGGAATTAAACAATTTGTGTTTTTAACAGGTGTTAAAATATTTTCCCATTTAATATTTATCTTTCTACTTACATATTTTTTGCTATTTAGATTTTTAATTGTAGCAATTATTTTATGGCTTCTGGCTCTCTGTCATACTTATAAAAATAACTTCACATGTGTACTACTATTTTATTGTTTCACATTTTCATTTAAATCATTAATTCTTTAAATGTAAGGAATAAAGTTGGTCTTTACCTTATTTATCTCCCTAGACAGCCACTCACTTTATTGAGTATTATGTATCCAATCTGTTTTTTAAAATATACTTTTGTTAATCTCCAATTTTAGACTCATTATTACTAGATACAGAAAATGTTTTCTTGGAATTTTCTGGTTTACCAATCCTTCTAAATCTCTTTAGCATTGGTTTATATTAATTTACTAGAGGCCCAATGCATGAAATTCGTGCAAGAGTCGGCCTTCCTTGTCCCAGCTGCCGGCACCGGCTTCCCTCTGGCACCCTGGACCCAGGCTTCCCTCGCAGCCCTGACTTTGTCAGGAAGGTCGTCTGGAAGGACGCCTGGTCTAATTAGCATATTACCCTTTTATTATTATAGATGCTGTGTTTTCTGCTAAAGTAATTCTATAGAAATTCCTGCAGTAAAGGTCCTTATGGTCAACTGTATTTCATCTTTATTTCTGAAAGATAGCTTCTCTGGATACTTGAAGCTATGTAAATAATTTCTCTCACTAATTTAAAGATATTCTGTTTCTGAGCTCCTACTGCTAGTTTGTTTATTCTTTTCCTCTGCCTGATTTTTGTCACAGTTGATCTAGGTGTGGATTTATTTGTATTTAGTCTGTTTGGGACATATTGTTTCCTTTATTTATGGATTCTAATCTTTCATCTGTTCTGTAGAACTCCTACCTATTATTTTCCAATATATTTTATACTCTGTATCTAATAGTTCTAGTATCTGAAATCTTGGGGGGTGTCTAAATCTGTTGTTTATTGTAAATTTTTGTGTATTTCTACTAATAGATTATATTTTGTTGATCTTAAATTGTGAGAATCCTATAGCTAAATTTGGAAAACTTTCCTTCAAAGAATTTCTACTTGAATCTGCCAAGAATTAAAAGGCACTTACAAAGCTAGCATCATTTTGCCCTCCCTATTCCCCTTCAAGAAGCCAGGCTTGATGTAGGAGAAGACAGGTTCAGCTCCCTCACTAATGACCTAAGATTTAGTGTCCCAATTGATTAAAGACTTTATATAAGCATTGCCTTAAAGGAGAACTTTGACCTCCCATGCTTCCTGATCTGGCCTCAGTTCACTTTTCTGGAGGGTGGGTAGCGCACTGGGGGCAGTCCTTGGATACGTTTCTTACCTACCTCGAGCTCAGCAATGTGCCAACAAATCTGGTACATCAAGGACTGACTAGTTGATTCATTTATTCAACTAATACTTATTCAGCACCAATTATATGCTCAGAACTGTTTAAAACACCAGTGATACTACAGTGAGTGTAACAGAAAAATCCCTGTTTTCATGAGTGTGTGTTCTCATTGGGAAGGCAGACAATAAAATAAGTAAATAAAATATCTAGTACATTAGATGGTGTAAGTGCTATAGAAAAAAAATTAGGAAGTATGGATATTTATGTGGAATGGAGAAAATGGGAAGATGTTTCAGTAAAGACTTGAAGGAAGTAGGGGAGCCAGACATGTAAATATTTGAGGGATAAACATTCGAGGTATAGAGAAAAGCAATGACCCTTCTGGATCATTGTAAAGACTTTGGCTTTCACTCTAAGTAAAATGGAAGGCCAGTAGAAGGTTGTGATCAGGAGTGAAATGATCAGATTTATGTTTGAACAGATTTGCTCTGACTGCTACAGCAGGAAACTGGAGGTAGGAAAAGAATGGAAGCAAGAATGGAAGGAGGGTTGCCCTAACCCTGTATCCCATGGCACACCTCTGATTAAATTAAGAAAATGCCACCAACTCAGTGATTATTTGGAAATGCCAATTATGAACAAAGTATCTTGAAATTATTTTAATAAAATATGTAATAAAACAATAAAAAAATCATGAAAAAGGATTATAGAATAGAGGTGCTAAAAAGCTTACAAACATTAGCATGTTCTTTTCTAATTAGAAGAGGACAGAAAGGTTAAGGGGGAAGGCTAAGAGGCTGGGGAAGAGAAAACAATAAAAATCTGAGTTTTTTGTATTTATGACAAGTCACTGTGGTTCTTATGGAAATTTTGTTAAACAGCTGTTATAAATGAAAAGCTATAAAATGTATAACATTATGCAACTTAAAATGTTTGAGAATAAATGAGGTCGGGACAGTAAGTTACTTTGAATATACCTAAACGTAGAAATGATAAAGATTCAATTAAAATAAAATTTTGCAAGTTAAATATACACACAAATAAAAATTTCTTGGGAGTTATTCAACTTTGCTGTTTCATACACTGAGTGTATGCTGGGAATGGAGAATCTGACAGAGCTGACAGCACATAAGTGAAAAAGAGGACAGAACCAGCTGTGCACCTACATCCATTCTGCACCAAAGTACTGACACAAATGAGGCTGTGAACAGTTCAATTCTCTATACTGTAGTGACTGACTTTCTAGAGAATGCCAAATTCTTAACGATCATTTTCTTATTTGAAAATCTGAATGCAGGATAACTTTTGAGAAGAATGTTTTAAAAGCACATTCTGTCCAAAGTTATTATTTAGAACCTTTCCATATTGGGGGAACCATTTTGCAAAACATGTAATTGTTGAACCACTATTCTGTACACCTGAAACTAGTACAAAATAATATTGAATATAAACTGTAACTGAAAAATTTAAAAAAATCAAACCTTTCCAAAGAAAATATAAAGACATTTTTTGGAACAGAAGAACGGTTCAAATGTTTCACTCACCGTAGAATCCATCTGATTATATCTGGCAATATCTTTATGCAGTGTCCGTAGCATAATCATAGCGACCATTCCAGACAAGAAGAGGACAATGACCAGGGAATTCATAATGCTGTAGAAATACACGTCAGGATTAATCTGTATCTTAATCTCTGCAACAGTGAAACTCCTTTTTAAGTTGTTTACTAAGTAATATTAAGACAGTATTTTTCAAAATAAAAATTTTACCTAAAATTCAACAAATTTAATGAACTGTGTTCTGCTATGTGACTTTCCAGTATATACATAACTTTGTACACTTATAATATAGTTTGGTCTTTAAACATCTGATTCACTCTACTTTGTACACTTATAATATAGTCTGCTAAGAACTAGAATTTTTTTTCATGGTCAGCATTATTAAATAACTAGAGTGTCCAAATCAGTGCAACACAAGCTGTAAGAATCAACAAAGGACTGATCTGTTCCTCAAGAAATTTAGTGAAGAACAAAGTTACTCAGTAAATTAATGAGTGTCAAAGGATAGTTGGCACCATGAACAGTTTTCTAGATAAAAGTTCTGAGTCACTCTTTTAAGAGAGAATAAATAGTCATAACAATAGCAGTAGCTTGTTTATTGAGCACTCTTCCTTTCTAGGTAAGGTGCTCAAATGCTGTTTCATTATTTCCTTTACTCCTTAGAACAGTCCCATGAGGCAGATATTTCTAGATAAAGAAATGGACTCTGAAAAATGGAATAACCTGGTCTGACTCATAACCAGTAACTTAAATCCAGAATTGAATCCATCTCTGATTTAAAAGGTCAGCACTTTTGAATAACTGAGGAGAAGTAGAGTGAATCAGATGTTTAAAGGCACAAAGAGTACAATAAGTACAGAGCAGAAAGCAGATTAATTACAGTCTTACCTAAACCACTGAATGTGGGTATGAGGCATAGATTCCAGAATATAGTCCCATCTAGATGCCCACCTGATCTTTGGATCTTCCTACAGGGATTAAAAACAAAACAAAATTCTTTAAATAATCATTTGCTGACAAAATATATTAAGAATCCAAAAATTTCCATTCTCAGCTTGACCTTCCATTCAAACAACAAATGCAATTTCTTGTTATCATAATTTGGGTTAGTCATGAGATTCAGGGAGTTTCAATTTACTCAAGTCTCTGAAAAATCAGAATGAGATTAAATAGTAAATAAAAAATAATAAGAGTTCCTACAGGTACCTACTTACTTGTACTTTTTCAAAATCTTGCTTTAAATTTTAAATAGTAAGGGTGTATTTTAGATGTTAAAATTTAGGGCTATATTTATTTTTTTCAGAAAATTGAGTGGAATAACTTATTTGCTTTGACACCATCTATCTACGCCTATAAGACACTTAACTAGACCAAAGTCATAACCTAGGCACACTGAACATCTGGCAGGTGTCACCCACACGGAGCTCTTAATACCTAGAAATATATATTGTTTATTGTACTAGGCTTACAAAATTACACACTATATGGGGATAGTAAATGTCACAACTACACTGGATTGCCAAAATAGTTTATTAAAAATAGAGGTGGAATATTGCCTAAGATCCTCATAAAATAAACGTTTACTTTCCTCCTAAAAAACTTCTCCATTAATTAAAACACTCCCCCTTGAATTCCCTAAGAACCTATATAAATCATCTACCATCAGGAAATGTTTTATTTAAGTTGATACTCAAACCCAGATTTAAAAATGGCATTTTCCCCAAATGCTTGTGGCATATATCTTTGATAATTTCACAACTTCTATGCCTATTTTCTACCTTTTGTCATATGTATCTCTTATGGCTTAATTAATTGGACTCAATTCTCCAAGTTGCTATGCTTCTCATTTAAATGAAGACTTAGTTTTGAGTGTGATTATACTGCCTGGTGCACTGATAAACTATTCCAAAAATCAGTTCATTGAAAGCTTATCTATCTGACAGGCTTAATCATTAATATTTTAATTAGTTTAAGTAGTATGAATTTAAAATCAATTTCTGAGTTACATTAAAAATAATAACAAACTCACCTCGAAGCTAACAGAATAAGTATAGGCAATTTTGATCTCCCCAGAGGCCTTGTTACTTATATCCATGGGGGTTCCAGAGCAGTCTGGTTTATCTATATGGGTATGTTTGTAACTGTGGGAAGAAACATTTTGGAAAGATGCTAATGAAGTACAGTTTCAAAAAATGGGGTAAAGGTTAGAGATTTTGTAAATATTTCACAATGCTGAAAATCAAACATGAAATTACTCATGTCACATTTAATAGTATAAAACATTTACTTCACTCAAATAATGGACTTAGTTATAAGAATGGATACAAATTATTACTCAAAATTAGAAACAAACTTCTGAAAACACTAGACTTGAAAAGCATTAAATAATCTTAAACACACACACACACACACACACACACACACACACACACACACTGAGGGAGTTTAAATTAACTGCCATCTTATTATGGGGTGCATTTCTTTACCAGCAGTGAAAATGGCTAATTCAATTGGTGGTGGTGTAGATGTTCATGGAAAAAATGGAATACTCAAATCAAAAAGACTTCACAAGTAACTAATAGGTACTTTAACACTAAAAGCTTGACAAGCTAAAGAGATGCCCTTTTAATGACTTGTCATATACTGGCATCTAACACTGCATGGAGACTTTCAAAATGACAGCACTAATCAGCTCATCTAGGTCTCTGATGAGAGGTCAAGCTGCAAATACCTGAAGCAATGCTTTTCCATTGTAAAGGGGACTCTCCCAAATACCTCACATTCTCCATTTCAACCTGACATGAAAAAGCTGTCAAAACTTCCTACTGAAAAACAAAACAAAAAGGCACCTTGGCTTGACCATTTGACCACTGACAGAAAAAAAAAACACCCGGAACTCAGCAACAAATCATGCCAACGGGAGTTTTAGTAAAATCAATCCTGAAATGCCAGATTATATGCTAGAATACTGATTAAGGAAAAAGTTAATTAGGCCTGAAATATTTATTCTTTGGGTCTAAATTTCACTTATATTTGTACTTTTTGTATTTGTATAGTTACCTTTTTGGTTCAAGTTTAGCAGCCACTAATCTTGCTCCCATGGACCCAGTTTCAACAACGTGGTAGTGTATTTTTATGTCAACATGGTTGAAGATGTAAAATGTATCTCTTTCATGATAGTCTGACTGTGGAACAGAACTTAAAGTTAAAGGTAGAAACTGGCTATACAAGAGTTAAAACATAAAAAACTTCAAAATTAGTCACAACAAATAGGAAAATTTAAGCTTAGACAGGATTTTAATCCTTCCCCATAAAAATATTTCAGTTTTAAGCTTAAACTCTTTATAAGCCAAACTAATTGGCAGAGGTACAAATTACATTTCTTTAATGTTTTAATTCTTACATAAAACTTATTAAGTGCTTGTTATAAAGAACACATCTATATTTTCTAGGTTTTCACCACAATATAACTTACAAAATAAATTTTAAAATATTACATTTTAAGTGTGCTAAAACTTAAACATTTTAACACTTTCCTCCATGGAAGTTTATAACTTCAGTCTAAACTAATAACCTAAATCAGGGTGACCTGATTACACAAAATTTAATATACATCCCCAATAATTTTAATTACTTTCTATATTAATGTCTTCACTCTATTATGACCTCAAAGTATGAACTCAAAGACATGCCTTTTAAAAAAAGGTGTAAAACCAAACTTTTACAACACATGGACTTAATTTGCAATACAAACTTCATGGATTTACATTGAGGTCTTTTTGGTACTACATTCTCTATAGATTTTTATACATAAGATTTATGAAACTAACTTTTAACAGAATCAGAACGGACAAAGTCCTAGCCCTTAGCACGTAACAGACACTCAGTAAATATTGAACTAAATCTAAATTATTTTTGTTCCAGGGCTAAATTTGTACACTGTTAATCTGACTTAGGTTTAATATCTAAGTAGTTGTAATTCAGAACATCTGAGCTGCACTCATTCGATGAGTATAACAATTATGTCTGGGTAAAGAATGAATCTTTCTACCAAAAGCGTATTTTAATAAGAAGTATAGAGCCCAGCTGGTGTGGCTTAGTTGGTTGAGCTTTGCCCCATGCACCAGGAGGTTGCTGGTTCGATTTGTGGTCAGGGCATATGCCTGGGTTTTGGGCTCGATCCCCAGTAAGGGGTGTGCAGGAGGCAGTGCATCAATGTTTCTCTCTCACTGATGTGTGTGTGTGTGTCTCTCTCTCTCCCTTCCTTTCTCTGAAATTAATAAAAACATATTTTAAAAAGAAGCATAGCGTTTATCACAAACTTACACTAATAACACAGGCATCTTTAGCACGGCCTTTATCTGTAATGTAACAGCCAATAGGAAATCCAGGATTACAGAACTTCTGACCATCTTCAACATCATAACACCATGTTACAGGCATATTATCCACAATCCTACACACAGAAATAAAAGTCAAGTTAGTAATAACTAAAAATAACTAAGAATTACTGCCCAAATATGTCATCACTTCATAAAAGTTAATGAAATGTGGCATTTCATAAGTAACAGCATTATGCCAATATTTGATATACTACAGTGAAGGAAAAAAACTTTATAGCTGAAACTATAAATGTATGTAGGAAAGGAAGTTTAATTGATTAATTTATTGCAATTGCTAATTTAACAATATCCTTATTTAGACACCTAAGTATAATGGTCTTTTAGCAGAACACTTAAAAGCTTACTAAATAGAAGCAAAGTAATATATCTAGTTCCTCAGGAAAAATTTATGGAACAGAATAGAAGCAAATATCTTTTATTACTCAGGCAATTCAATAAAAAGGAAAAGAATATAATTGCAAGATATGGGAAAATATTTAACTTAAGGGCCAGGTGGAAAAGTCATAGATACAGTATTTCTAAAACTGTGTAAATCCAACTTATGTCTAGAAGAAATGCTGCGATAAAGCTACAGAAACAGATTTTTCATGTTCTATAGTGAAAAAGAACTTTTTAAACAAAAAAGGATAAAAATAAAGAATAAAGTTCTGTAGCACTGTGTAACTAACTACATTAAAGTCCGAGTATGTGGTCCCCTATGCCCAGAGCACACTGCAGGATACAAATAAAAAAATTACTGAAAATATACTAGCAGTATTACAGTCATAAAACAACACTCCAGGGCATGTTTTATTTGTTAATTAATGTATGCCTTAGGAAGTAAAATTATGATTTTATATTTCCCCCAAGGTGAACATTAATGATCTAATAAAACACGTCTGGTCACATTTAAATGCTATTTAATAGTACCCAATGTACCAAGTTTTAGAATCACCTATACTATTAAGTTGCTTATTATTATAACCAGCAGGCTAGTGGTTTCCATGAAAAAAATGAAACAAAAAAAACACACTATAAAAAATTAGAAGCATAAAAGCAATGCTTATAACATAAGTAATTCACATTTTTCTGAAGGCCTAAATAACCAGTAAATTGCCTTAATTTTTTAGAGGATGAAGTTCAATCAATGAACATATACTACCAACATATTAAATACTAGAAGCCCAGTGCACAAATTCGTGCACGGGTGGGGTCCCTTGGCCTGGCTGGTGATCGGGGCCAATCGGGGAGGCAGAAGGTTGGCCAGGGCGAGGGGCTGTGGGAAGTTGGCTGGCCAGGGGGAGGGGCCACTGGAGGTTGGCTGGGGGAGCACACTGACCACCGAAGGCAGCTCCTGTGTTAAGCATCTGCCCCCGGTGGTCAGTGCACATCATAGCGACTGGTAGACCGGTCATTCGGTCACTTAGGCTTTTATTTATATATATATTATCTTTAAGCTATCATATTATAGAAAGTACTACATAAAAATTACAGTGCTAGTTACATAAAAAGAAATTATGTGGCTTTTTAGGTTTTTAAAAAAGCAAACATCCTATATTAATCATTTATCTAATGACCTGACACAATAAACCTTTCCCTGGTAATAGGAAGCATTAAAAAAAAAAACAAAAAAACACACAACTAACCCTTGGAAATAAACGTAAAAAATTTAAAGAGTATCATTTTCAATTACTGCCTTCCTTGCTATGTTAGGGAGAAGTAGTTATTTGAATTTATGAAACAAAAACATATTAATATCATATTTTCAATCTCATAGTGAAAAAGAGAACGAGGACTCAAAGGATAAAGGTTGAATAATTGGTCCAATTATTTTACCATTAAGGACTCCTTACCATTATTTCCCTCTATCCTCCATGGATTCCATTTGAAATACTTCTATAAATCAAACTTCATTTATCAATAACTCATTTTTCTAAATAATTAAATTCTCAGAATTTCTGAGAATGAAATAACCCATGTTGCTAAAATACATTCAGAAAATTGCAACCAAAAGCAAAGAAAGTTGGCATCTAATTTATTCTATGTAGTTCTAACATGAGTAAATTTACATTACTCATTAGGTTTTTAAAGTGTAAAAATAGCACATCATTCTCCTTTGCTAGCTGGTTGGATTCCAGGATTGAAATTCACTAGACTAAAAATCTTCAAAGACTCTTTTCTGTCAAAGAAACTACAGTGCAGTGGTTCTATGATACTAAGAAAACTTAAGGGCACTGAGAACTAGTTAAAGAATTATACTTTTGTAAATAAATGTCACAAAGTGTTGGAAACTTAGGCAAGAAGTATAATTACAAACCAAGTAGAATATAGCTGAAAGGAGTTCAAGTGTCTTGTGCTAGTATCAATACACTATCTCTGTCTCTCCTCCTCCCTTCCACTGTCTAAAAATCAATGGAAAAAATATCCTCAGGTGAGGATTAACAAAACAAACAAACAAACAAGACAATATGGTTAAAATGTGGGAGAAAAGAATGGTTCATTCATGTCATGAAATGCTATACAACTATGACAAGAATGAGGTAGATACAGATCCACAGATGTGTTTTACATGGAAAAATGCCCATATTTTCTTAAATGAAATGAGCAAATGGCAAAATAATGTGTACAATATTTTGGTTGTGTTATTTTTAAGATCTACACACCCTTTCATATACCTGCATATGTACAGAAAACCTGGAAGCATACATAAGAAATAATAGTGCTACCGCTGGAGAACATAATTAACGAAGCTGAGAGTGATAAAAGACTCTTACTTTTTATTTAATACTAGAGGCCCAGTGCACGAAATTAGTGCACAGGGGAGTGGGGTTCCCTCAGCCCAGCCTGCCCCTCAGTCCAGGAGCCCTCAGTGGATGTCCTACTGATGGCCACAGTCTGGCAGCAGAGGCTTGGAGCAGGCGCCCCGTGCGCGTGTGTGTGCGCGCGCGCGCGTCTGCTGGGGCCTGACCCCAGCCGCGCCACGTAGGCTCAGAGCAGTTGCCGTGTGTGTGTGTGTGTGTGTGTGTGTGTGTCCCCACTGGGG